CTGTTTCTGCCTCTAATATGTCTCTGACTAGACCTTCATGCCTGAGAAAGTGTCCTACCAACCTATTTATTGACTTCCATAGAGTCCTCTGTTCTCCTATTCTTTCCAATACCTCTTCATTTCTAACCTTTTCTACCCACGATATCCTCATCATCCGCCTTAATCAGTAAATTGTTTATATAAAATTATGTGTAAAAATAAAAATAATCCATTTGTAATTGTTTCACATTCTGATATACCTATGCAAAATTATGTTTTAAAAGATAAACTTATCGATTGAACTTTGTTATTTTCAAAATTAAAGAAAAAGATGTTTGAAATTTCTGTTGTAGAACTACTTACCCTTTTCAAAAAAATACGACAATTTCAAAACCCGAAAATATTGCTAGGTTTTAAAAAATTGATTAGGTGTAATGTGAATTCTCCTCAAGTGAAAGCCTTACGAAAATAAATCTGTATTTTAAAGATAATGAAGATACCTATACAATTCATTCAAAAATAATAAAAAATTAGCTTCGTCCTTCATTTCTAAAACGAAATATTTTTATTACAGGGTGTTCCACCTAAGGCGGTTTCGTCCATAACGCCGTTATTACACATTTGATAAAAAAATTGGTCTGGAATCATGCAAACTTGCACCTTTAACAATCTTTTTCAAATTTATAAATTAACCGTTTACAGGCTGTTGCATCTAAAATAACGAAGTTAAGTAGCGTCCAGAAGAAATGGAACATCCTGTATGATTGAAAATATTTTCTGCATATGCACCATATGATTCCAGACGAAACCGCCTCATATGGAACACCCTATATATTCTCCTCTATTTAACCTATTGGTCCACTCTATACATATTTTTATACTCATTCACTTCATAAAAATAGCCGTTTAGAAAAAGGTATAATCTTTTAGGAATTAAAACGTACATTCCATAATTTAAAAGACGTTGGCCACTTGATAGTAAAGGTATTTAGAGCGACGGGTTTAGCTGCTGCAGATTTAGGCGGAAAGAGTGATCCCTTCTGTGTTCTCGAACTGGGAAATGCCAGACTTCAAACTCAAACTGAATATAAAACACTGTCACCTTCATGGCAGAAAATATTCACGTTTAATGTTAAAGATATCAATAACGTTTTGGAAGTAACGGTGTTCGACGAAGATAGAGATCACAAAGTTGAATTTTTGGGGAAAGTGGCTATCCCTTTGCTCAGGATAAGAAACGGAGAAAAACGTTGGTACGTCCTTAAAGACAAAAAACTTAGAAGTAGAGCGAAAGGAAATTGTCCCCAAATATTGTTGGAACTTTATGTGATAATGAATCCTTTAAGAGCGATGATACGAACTTTGAACCCAAAGGAAGAAAAGTACATGTTGCAAGAAGTAAAGTTCAAGAGGCAGGTTTTCGTCAAAAACGTCCTTCGATTGAAAGCTATCGTGATATATTTTTACGAATTTGGAAAACTCATTCAGTTAGTTAACAGCAAATGTTTTTTCTTTAAAGTTCAATTTTAAACTGCACCTATTAATTTTAGAAGTTGTTTCGAATGGGATTCTACATTTCAAAGTTTTCTAGCCCTGATCTTTTGGCTAATATTGTGTTATTATTTCGAACCGTGGATGATACCTGCTGCTTTACTTCTTATATTTTTTAAAAACTATGTGGTGAAAGCTGTAAGTTCTACTTCACAAACATCGTGGAATGAAACTTACGACTCCGATATTGAGGAAGATGAAGATGAAGATAAAGATAAGGTAACTACAATAATAACTTTAAAGGATATAGAAATTATTCTAAAATGCACCCAAGTTATTTACAATTAACAACTGGGACAATATACAGCATAAGCACTATCTATTTTAGGTTTTTAGTTTCATTTACTAAAAACAGTATTTCTCAATTTCCAAATTTCTATTTGGCGGACATTTTGAATCTTTATTACTACCTCAGCTGGAAAGATTTTTCGATTAAATTGTCAGTCGCGTCAATAACATCATGTAAAACATTTTGGGCAAAATAACCATTGAAATTTTTATTCTATGTAGGGGCTTATATTTTGAGGGACAAAATCACTCTATAGTAAAATGCAGTAATTTAGATAACCGAATTTTTGATTTTCTAACTATAAAACTGTAATGGTCTCGTATGTTTACAATCATTATATTATTATTATTATTTTGTTTACTTTCTTTAAAAAATCTCGTCTGCTGATGAAAGAAATTGTACTTTTTGTTTATAATATAAAAATATAAAGTATAATTAACATTTTCAAAGTGTTTTAAAAGAACTTTTACAAAAACATTATTTAATAAGGAACATTAAATTCTTGGTCAATAATTTATTGAAACTGCCAGACGCAGATCACGATATCAAACTTATTAGTTCTCATCAGCACGCCATAGACAGTCTGAATAAAGTACCAACCACGTCAAGATAATCGGGTCTAAAAGCCGTCGTTGGTTCAAGTTGCTTCCTAATGTTTCGATAGCACGAGTGACGAGCTTCTTCAGAGATCATTCCATCTCCGATAATGAATGTGTTCATGCTAGCGAAACGTTAGGAAACAACTCCAACCGACGACGGCCTTTAGACCCGAATCAGGACAGGATCAGTTCATCTATCCGCGAAAGCCTTTACCAATTTGAGACGCTGCATGTTGCTTGATATAAAAAAATTTTCACTTATCACTTACGTTAAAATGAAAGATGATCTTTGAGGGGTTCAAATTGGTTGTACAACTAGTATTAATTGTAACATTATAGGAAGAAAAGAAAACTCTAAAAGAACGTCTCCAAGCAATACAAGAGGTGACTCAGACTGTCCAAAATACTATCGGTCGGTTAGCCACCCTAGGCGAAAGTGTTAAGAAGTAAATATTTTACAATCCGGTTTTTATAAATCCATCTATGCTCACTCGTGTGTTTTCAGCACATTTAATTTTTCCGTACCGTTCCTTTCTTGGATTGCCGTTTTCCTACTGGCTGCCTGTTGCGTGGTTTTATTCTTTGTTCCAGTTAGATATCTGTTAATGACATGGGGCACAAATAAATTTTTTAGGAGAGTCTTTCGGCCACATTCTGTTCCCAATAATGAGGTGCTTGACCTATTATCCAGGGTGCCAGATGATGAAATGTTGGTAAGATATTGTAATGCTTTAATTTTTTTGTCTTTACACATTTTAATAGGGGTGTAAATTACTGATCATAAAAAAAGCAAATTGATCTAAACTTTGGTCGTAATTTTGCATACGAGGACGAATCAAATATAAACCAGACCTTTGGACTTTTTTTTGTTTTTGTAGAAAAGGGGAAATCTTCAAAAGACACCCAGCCGTCCGTACGACTGGGTAGTTTCGGATTCTCGAGAAAGGTGTCCTCAAACCTTCCGACTAAAACCCCTTTACCAATTAAGGTCCTATTTAGCTGATTGTGGTTATTAATGTTATGAGATTGTGTATTTTCAAAATAACCTTTGGGCTTGACCCCAAAATTAAAACATGAAATCTTTTGTTTCGTGAGGTGTTGGGCGAGGATGTCTGAAGTGGGAGAAAGAGATAAGCTTCTTCGCTCATTCTTCTCCTTTCTAGTATCCATCGTGAAGATGACTAAAGAGGAGATTCCTTCGTCAGTTGTGCAATTATTAATAAGTTTCTTGGTTTAAAACCAACAGAAATTCNTACTCGCCAGTCAGAATCATCATAATAATAAAATAGAGTTCCTTCCAAGGAGGATTATCCAAAACAAGATGGATACAACACAATATATGCATGCAACCACAGTTAACCACACTTCAGAAAATTTCTATCACCAGCGCCTCAGTTCGACATTAGGATAAAAAATGTACTCGCCAATCAGAAAAACGATAAAACAGGGTGAAAGGTGGACCTTGCAGCTGTGTGTTAAGTGTAGCCTCAAATGCCAAATAACCCGGCTTCCCCTACCCAGTTTTCATATTAACGTTTATCCGGGCTTCTCTCGCGTAGAATATTTCGATGCTTGTAGATTTTTTAAGGTTCTGCGCCCTTGTAAAATAATTCACGCGTCCTTAATGTCCGGCTATTTATTACTTAATGTTCACCCCAAAATAGTTATGCCTTTAACAAGTGGCGATAAATGCAAAAACGTGTTTAATATTGTTTATTGGAAAGGCAATTTAACTGGTAGGTATACTTCATTTACTTTCTCTAGCGATGTGCCCCTTCCAATTTCTTGGATGCGCGCTGGCAAAATCGTAGGTACGGAGAAAAAAGCTCATTATACTCTCGACTCTTGTTTATTAAACATACTTTTTCACACAGTACCTGCCAAAAGTTTTGTTCAATCATGAATAGTAGTGCGAGTCAAAAACAAGCGTTGAAGCCTTTAATATGTCTTCAAATATAAATAAACATCTCGTTGATATTTTCAGTAGTAAATGGTACCAATAACAGCACATTTGAATAATACAATTGTAGTGGATAAAATGGTCAATTTTTCCGTGCAGTACTGTACGGATTATACGCTCCTTACCGGTTAAGAGTTTGGCCGAAAGTTGTCTCCTTCCTTTTCTGGCCTGGTGCTGTTCTTTTCTACTATGCGCCGGTCAAACTGAAGGTCACATCGTTACAGAAAGTAAACGAAGTATATGTCGAATGTTCTTTAATTCTTTTGTTAAATTTCATTGCTTTACTTCTCTTAACAATAAGTTGTAAGATAAAAACTAACCAAGTTCTTGCATTAGGTGTGTCATAGATCTTTCAAGTTTAGAAAGAGAAAAAACTTATAGTTTATGGCAACAATTGGAGGAAGGTACAGGTTCGTTACAGCTTCTGATAACCATTAGTGGAACAACAGCATCTGAAACAATAAGTGATCTAACAAGTTACGAAGAAAATCCAAAAGAACGAGAAGTATTGCTCAGGCGTTACGTAAGTTTCAAACAAGTTTTACCTCCTTCTATTTTACCACAATTTATTTTCGTTTCTTCTTCGAAAATCACTTTATCCACCGGCAAACTAGGAAATTGTTTTAATAACAGCAAAAACAAATTATTTCATTCTTTTTCTGTAAACAAACCCAAAATATTCTAACACAGTATAAAATAAAAAATTTAAACACAAATTTGAGAACAGTGTTTTACTAGTGTAATCAGTAAATTGTTTATATAAAATTATGTGTAAAAATAAAAATAATCCATTTGTAATTGTTTCACATTCTGATATACCTATGCAAAATTATGTTTTAAAAGATAAACTTATCGATTGAAGAAATCATGTAACGG